TTTTTCACTTGGAACGCAAGAAGCCTCTCATACGAGTACGATTCGTAGATATAAATGTCGTAGATATAAATGTCATGTCACATGAGATATGCTATGATATTTTTTCTTAAAGCAAATAGTGTCTATCTAACGTATTTCATTTTAAGCTACAGAGGATAAATATGTTCCATCCATACCGTCTTTCAGTCCCTACCGTACTTTCGACAACGTAAAACAGAAAATCATCGCAGATGGTTAATCTCGAAAAGTCGAGATGAAACATTCCTAATTTGCCCGTGAGTGCATTTTAATATAAGGAGTGTCTTTACTGAAATATAAGGAGAAAAGATTCGTTTGACAAATATCGAGATATATATAACTCGACGATAAATACCGTTCAGTCTATTTGCGGGCGATCCGCGGGATCGATAAGCGGGTGGGAACTATCGAAGAGAAGCGGACGCGACTTTTGGTTCGCTGGATAAATCGTAGTTATACCGGACATCGCGTATTGACCAATCAAAGCTCGTTTATGTACTTGATGGTCGTTCCAACTCCGATCGCGCCTCTCGAATCCCTTTTCGAGCACGAATCTAAATTGACGTCGAATCAAACGAAACCGATGTGTATTTCCGTGAGAGAAATTTTCATTGCCCTTCTGAACTAAAAACATGTTACACTAATCGATCGCGAACCCTTTTAATTTTTATAGACATTTATCTGTTTATGGTGATAATATACTATTTCTAAAAAATTATAAAAAATTTTAATCGAGTCAGAAATTACAACGTTATAAACATCCTTATTTAATGTTAATACTTTAAAATACTTACACTAAAATTAGTCCTTGTTAATGATAAAATTAACTAATTTTTATATTTTAATATTATATTATATGAAAAAATTATTTGAAAAAATTTAATGGTATTACTTGTTATAAATCCTAATTAAAAACGGTTAATTTCACTGATCTCTTTTTTGTCATAATATTTGAAAAATCTTAAAATATTCATCATATATCGCGACTGAAAGACGTAAACAATTAGCAGTTGCGAGCTTTCCAGCGGTTTACAGAAGCTCCGTTTCACCCCAACGGTTTCTGGACAAAATCTCAGAGCGTAAACATTTATAGTACGGGTAAATATCGAGGCAGGAGGGTATCCCTATCCCTTCCTTTCTTCCGGATGTTTTTGTCGTTCCTCGAACGGCAACGTGCATGACCGCCTCCATGATAATCTGTAGTAAATCCGAGGAGCAAAGTAGAAGCACGCGCTGGATACAAGTGGAACACGGTTCAATATGCACAGACTCGGCCACTAATTGCACTAATTACGCTGTTTGCGATTCGAACGCAACTTAATCAACACAACTTGGAAAGTTTTCATAGCTCGAGAAAAGGAATAATTAATGATAATTATAAAAGATACATTATTGAATAATTTATTATTTTTGTATATGTGTATATTAAAAATAAAAACAAAAATATAATAAATCCTATTCAAGACCGCGATATTGTCCGTTAAAATGCACTATATATTTTTAATCCTTTACGTTCCGATAAATAACTAAAGTATTTATAATTATTAAAATTTTCTAATTGACTAGCTGTCTCTGCGTCAACTTTTCCCGACGCTTCTTGATTTATTATTACGTCGGGGAGATCGAGACGCCTCACGGAAACTAACTGTCAGCGCCGGAAGCGTTAGATCTGTGCCGGGGTAACCACCAGGAAGTACGACCGGTAAATAATATGAGGATAGAATCGAACATGCAGACGGAATGCTTAATCCCGCGGTTACTGACCTCCGTCTTTCAGTAGATTTATGTGAACTCGGTTTATCACCCGGCCCCTAGTTTGTTGATATCGCGCTACAAGTTGATCTTTTTAACACGCGCATTTCCGTAGATTCACGCAAATCGAAAAATGTAAAATCTGTTTCCATCCGTACTTTACTCTTTCGTTTTCTATATAATATAGAACCATTCGTATTACTGATGTCATAGCCAAAAGATAATCTTACATAAAAAAAAATAGGACCAAAATAAAAAGTGAAATCTTTCCGTGCAAGATTTTGTCTAAAAAATTCAATTTTGACAATCAAATCATGGCATTGATTAAGTTTCTTAATAATATCGAATAAAATTTGCCAGTGTTCAAAAGTGGCTGCAAAGCAAGAAATGTGATTTTCGTTCTGGAAACGATCTTTCCTCCAGACGGGAGGGAAGAATTTATGGCGTGGGGGAGAAGCGTATTCTTTCGATGAGGCCGTAGGATGTGCGCCAATACGACTGCCTGCAACCTCGTGTCAACATATGGACGGATATTTCCGTTTCGTGCTGGCGGCAGCGACATGGCACGCTACACGACCGACGCTCGCAACGGAAGACACGTGAAAACACATTCCAAAACGAATCTAAGCTTTACAAACACATTCGGTTATCTATCCTTCCGCGGCATAGGTATCGTAAATGACAGATTCATTGAAAGAACAAATTAACGCTCTCTCAGTCGTTTATGGACACGCGTTACTCTCGTGGGATGAATATTTGTGCAAAATATTATTTCTTGAAATTGCACAACACTTGTCGATTTAATTTTCAAGAGTACAGTCGTAAAGAAAAAAAAAAAAAACAATTTCACGAGAGTGGATTTTATAATTGTATTTCTTGCATTAAAAAATGTCTTTGTATTGAATTAGAACTTTTTTATATTGTCTTTATATCGCTTCAGAATAGTTTGAAAATTATATCTGACTCGCAGAACGTAACACAATAAGTCTTCATCCGATATACCGATGTGGCCTAGTTGTGAAGTCAATTAACGGAGATAACAAAGATGATTGTTGACCACAGAGCTTTGTCTTACCTATTTATACATATTTTTCTTTTATTGCTGGTATCGCAGATGGAATTGTTAATTTTGACTGTTGCGTGAGTATCTACGATTCATTTCCGGTTGTAATTAAAGCGCGACCGGATGCTGGCTGAGGTCATATTTTTGCTGTTAAATGCACATGTGCTACAACCTCGCCCGCTTGACTTTCTTAATTAAGAGACTGCTCAGCAGCTCATGCTTTTATTTATAGATATCTTTACACAATGCTAATCGAAGTAACTCTTAATAATTATTAAATTTTAATAATTATTAATCAATGATTATTAAATTTTAGCAAAATTCTCGTATTGCACAATACATGATTCGTTAAAATTACTACGTTTACAATGGAATAATATTAATCACACTATATTTTTAAAGCTTTGTTTAATATATTAATATTTATAGTATTTGGTACATTTAAGGCATATTTTTATTCAATCATATTTTGCTATTAGATTCTGAGAAAGTTGGAATTTAAATGAATAATGAGAGATTTTTCGTATCAGAATTTGATTGCTATTTAAAAACTTAGTTTGTACATTTATTCGTCTTTACAACTATTTATTACAATTTATGTAGTACATTATTTATTGCAAAGTTAAAATCTCGATTTTTTTTAATTAAAAAAAAGTGAATTTTACATGCATCGGAAAATTCTTCGCTGTAATTACTTATGTAACATCGTAAATCTCGGAGTTTCACGATCGCGTATATGATGATCGGCACGACCAGTGAAAAAGTTGTTCGTTGAATACTAAAAGTTGTGAACTTCCGGGGCGGATTTCATCTGACTTTATATGCGCGTTCATCTGCGAACCGGTCCCGAATTTTATCCGTCACGTGATCACGAGATCGCCGGATATCCTTTATAGGCTATTTATGTTAACTTCAATTTGAATTTTGAGGCAAGCTGAATTAACTAATAAAATAATTTATACTAACGTCGCGTGTACGATATCTGCTCTTAAGTAAAATATGTATGATTAAATTATTAATAACATTATTATTGCTGACGTTTTTCTTATCATGGATTCTTTGAACATAATTTAATTATATTAATTATAAATAGATTTATAGAGGTTATTAGGCTGCGAATTATTTTCATGACAGAGAATATTTTCTTCAATAAAATTTTTCATTTTATTGATTACTTTTGTTTAACATTAAGTATATTATTGATTTCTTGTTGAACTAATATTTTTTGTAATTTTAATTTTCTCATTAATAAGAAAGGGATTTGATGCGCTTAATATTAACTAAAAATTAAAATTGATTAGTGAAATATAAATGCAGTAAAGATAATTTATGGTTTTTCACATATAAGTACTTAGCCCTTGTCGTCGTAAAAGCTGTCCGATAAATGCAACGCCGTCTACCATTGTCACTTCACTGTAATTAAAGCCGGAGCGAACCGAAAGTGTCATATGAAAAGAAATTGAAGAACAATCGATGCAATGGAATTAACGATCGAAATTGTGTCGCAGTGCTCCGACTTTTATAACACAGTAGGCATGATTCGCGTTTTATGCGGGCGTGCGGCAAACGGAACGTGGGAATGCGAGAACTCTTCAAGTGGATTATGTTATCCTCATAGAAATGGCAATCAATGTTCATGATAGAGAAAGAATTCGTGGGATTCGCGCAACTGGGTGATTCTCTCAACGATTCTATGAAATTCCAAGATTTGATTACAAAAGGGCGTCTTCAATCGGAGAAAAGCGCTAGGAAGAAAAACTGATCTGATTACTGGATAGGAGATTATTAATCTAAAAACCAGAATTACGACATAATGGAACTAAAGATAGAATTGAATATCTCATAGAGAGAGACTTGACCTTTCATGACAATTTCAATCTTTTTATGACTATTTCAAGAGATGGAAACATTTCCATGACGAAGTCTATAAAGATAGCTTCGAACTTTTCATAAGAAATTAAAGTTACTTCCAAGTGAAGCCTGAAATCGAAATTGATTCGGATTCGTATTAAACTTGATTCCATTTTAATTATGATCTTGACAATCCATAGTCAAGAGTATATATAAAGAGTTATCATATCCCGTTTAATAGTAAGATTTAATGATAGCTTCATTATGATCATTTAATGATGTTGAAGAGTTGAGATCCACATCGTTTGGTACTCACCCTTATTGGACGCGCTCTTGTGTCTTCTTCGCCTAGTCCTGTTGCAAGACAGTTGTTTGCTCTTGTTACAATGCACGCCATCGATATCGTCGTGCTGTACTGGAGCTGCCACTGTATCTGCTTCCAACAGATTCCTGGATCCTTCCGTTTGTCGTCCAGGCGTCGCAATATTACCGGACGCGCCTGTTTCTTTCCCGAAAAAGGTGCCTATCGAGTGCCTTCTTCGGTTCGCCATTGTGGGAAGAGTGGAGGAAACGTTGTAATATCTGGAAAGAAGATTTTTCATTATTCTATGTTTTTCCTTTCTTTAAACATTCATCCTATATTTAACATATATAGGATATTTCATTTTTTGCAAATTATTTTTTAACGGTAGATTATTTGGCAACGAAAACCGAAGATATAACGAACAAAATTTTGGGTTTAATTACGAGGATATAAAATTAAATTGACCAAATTAAATGATGATCTCCGTAAAGAAAATAATAAAATTTTCTTATTAACCTGGCATCGTTCACACCGAAGAACACTTCTGCGGTATCGTCGTTGCTGTTATCATTGTTGTCATTATGTTGATCTTTGAAATTACTCGATACATTGCAATGAACCATATCATTGGACAGAAGTTCGCTGGTAGACTTGAGGACTCTTCTGGTCCCGCTAGGATGACGCCGATCCTTCTCGGAGTGCGAATGCGACCTACGTCCACAGAACATTCCAAATTAAATAAAATTCATTTATACTGTACGTTTCGATATTTGTGAAAGAGAAAGATAATCTTTACCTGTGAGGTAAATACGGTGACGGCGGCGCAACGTCGGACGGCCTCGGGTCGCCTTTGAGGAACTTTTGAGTGCGTTCACGTTCCGCGTTCGCGCTCACGGACCGGAAGAGACTGCGGAAGCTCCTCCTTTTGCCGCATCCGGGATAGACCGCGCCGTTCCGCGACAGCATCGAAACGCGCTCCTCCGCCAGCGTCGACGGCGTGCCCGACGCGTTGCCGCGACCCTCGTGCTGCGCGCCGGACGTGAACTCCGAGATCAGGACTCCGTCACCCTGGGACGAAGCCGCTGCGCCCATCTTGTAGGCCCTCCGACGAAATAGGGCGGAGAAGCTCCTGGACGACGTCGGGGACGCCGACGTTGTCGTCGTTGTCGTCGTCGTCGTCGTCGTCGGCGTTGTCGCTTTCGACGACGATGCCCCGCCGGACAGCGTGAAGTACGATGGATTATCTGTAAACATACGTATCGAACGGGTCCGGGTCACGAGTTTAACTCACTCACTGGATACTCTCTTCTTCGGTGGTTTACGAGAAATTATTAGATCGTTATGATGTGGTCCTCGTACATGTCGTACAGCTATGTTGAGGCGAATCGTCGTTGTAAAGGACATGAGATTGCGCGAATCCCCATGAGATGTCCATCATCAGCTTGTATAATTAACTCGAAGATTTTGTATTGTATACAGTTGATACTGTTACGTTAATCAAGAGACACATTCATCACGATCACTTTTACCGCGTTTAAATCACCAATAGGAAGAGATAATTATCTCTAAATAATTGATTAATTCTTTAATGTCTCATCGAATCGCTGAGTTTGACCTTTGATCCACTCACACCGCGATCTAAATGAAGAGATCTAGACGTTAAATGCCGTTCGTCTATTTTTATTTTAACATAATTTCCACACCGTTGCGATATCGGCATCGCGCTTGTAATTGCGGAGGAGACGCTCGTCTAATTTGAAATTAAAATGTCATTTGAAGTGACATTTGCTCTTATCGCGACCGGAGTTTATGCCACAGCCGCGACTAGGCTAATAGCGAGTCCACCTGTGACTGTGGGCGCCGTGTTACGTTCATGGGACACCATGGGACCGAGGCGGCTTGCTGCAACCATTGGGCACAGTGGGGGGATACATCGGACCGGACGTTGCATTGTTCCCCCACTCAGTGAACCGGCAGGAATACGCGGTAGCTGCGCCGGAAATGCACCACCTCGATTCGTGAGCCGTTTCACTGAGTCCGATGGGCATTATCCGGATAAATTAATCCAGCTTGTTATTCGGATAAAATTTTATCTGTTATCTACATTATTTACTATTTATGTTGTTCATTATCTTTTCCCACTAGCACATTTTTTTTCTTTTGTGTATATGAGCGAAATAAGCCTCAAAACTTAAGAAAAGTATTCATTGCAGATATAAATTTTTAATTTTAATAGCCGAAAAATTTTATCATACATTTATCATATACATACAAAGAGATAGAATTATATTGTTGTTCGTGTTTTGCAAATTAATCCGCCAAAATGCGCTAAATTACGTTACAAAATTACATTTGCACTTTTAACCAACAAATGTCGCAAGCAGACTACTGTTTGTCTGCGAGTGAAAATGAGAGATGTGAGGGACGCGCGATTGTGCGTGAACGACGTGTCTTGCGTACCAAACGCGTCTCTAAAATCTGTATGCAATCTCTGTGATCTCCGTTGAGATTGCACGCGGAGGACGAATAAAACTCACCGATTGCCATGATGACTTTCTCTGTAAAAAGGCTCAGTTGAATTCTAAGGATACCTGCAATATAAAAATATATATAGTTTATTTTTACGTTATTATTACATAAATATTTCTGTATCTGTGTCTGACAAGCAGAAGAATGTACGCGAAAAATTTATACATTAGATGTCTACAAAATTATTTGACAAATAAAATTATTTGAAAACCGGTCCGCGAAGATATCTATTTTTCATTGCTTTAATTATAATGGAAATGATATATACAGTTATTATTTGATTTAATGAAAAAGAAGGAAATATTAATCAATAATACAATTTCTTTGCAGATTCCTTTTAAGAATAACGAATTCTTGGTATCTTCTGCTCCTTTCAGATTCAGATAGAGGTTGTATTCGTGTAGTCTCTGCGCGTTTGATCTCGCCCGCTACTGAAAACACGTGCTGAAGTTTCGATGAAAGACCTCGTTACCGCGATCGCGGACCAACTCTCTCCCGATTCAGAAAATCACACGCGGGAAAGTGCAAGTGTCCGCCGGACACTTTCATTCATCGCTGAAAATACGCGCGAATATTATATTTAGCACGGTGAGAGAGGCGGGTATTGCGCGCACACGGGGAACACGACCCGTTTACACTTGCACACAGAAGGGGGTGGAGAACGAAGAAATGGGGGTCGAGTGCAAATGCGATTCATTCACGTGACATTATCACATTGTGATCCACGTATCTCGCATCCGATTATCTGCACAATAGTACCATCATCAAGCTGCTTTTACGAGGAAATCTCTCCTTTACGAAAACATGTCTTTCCTTTGCTCGAGCATGTCGTAATAATTGATATCTATCGAGCGAGGCACAGTTTATCTTTTTACCCGATATTATTTCTATTTAAAGCCTATTAAACTCGTAATACAATTTTGATGTTTTTAACATGCACGTATATACGGAACTTATTTTCATGTAAAATTATAGTCTACTTTTCTTCGTGTTTTATTAAATTTACGTAACTATTATTTTTGTCAATCCACGTGACTGTGATTGATGATATTAGCCAGGAATCTGTGCATTTCCTTGAATTTAGTTCAGCAAATACGTGATGCAGCGACAATTTTCTGCCCTCATAGTTGCCGCAACGGTTACTATTTTCGTACGACCAGGAGAGGCAGAACGTGGTAGAGGTAGAGATAAATAGAAAGGGTGAGAAAGAGAAGGAGAGGGAAAGAGAGGGGGGAAGAAAAAGAGAAAGAGAGAAGGGTAGCAATGAGAGTGAAAGAGAGAGAAATAAGGTGATTGTACCCATGAAAAGTTGAATGTTTCAATATACTCTTTTTTGCCGAATTGTGCGCTTAAAGAAGTGAAAAATATGATACTGTAACCTGATGTGTGAATGTAATAGTATATGTTATATAATATACACAATCTTAAATTATTAAGATATAATATTTTTTTAAGATAAAATTAATAATTTTCTTATTATGTTGCTATGAAATTTTTGAAAACTGAAAATTGGAGATATTTGTTTTTAACAGAATCAGATATTAATTTATGGTACAGTAAAATGGCGTGAGGAATAATTATTAACTAATTATTGCGCAAAAATATAAATTTTTAAATTTAATGTCAAGATAAAAGGGATAAAAGGAATTACTGGTTATATTAAAATTTTACTTACTGAATTTCGGGAAAGCAATTATAAAACAATTTACAAAAATTATACTCTTGTAGGTTGCTATATATATATATAGAGTTAATTGCTTCTTATAATCTTTTTTTCGAAAGAGATAATTGAAACGGAAATAATATATCGTATATTAATGATCGCTACGCGTGTGGGTGACGACGTACCTCGCAAATAAGAAATCTATTAGCCGCGACAATGTCTTTTATTTCGATTGTTCCTCGTATCGATTGCCTCATACAAAATACCGCGGATAATTCCGCATCTCCGAAACTGCGCGTTCCATCGCGTTCGCTTGACTCACACGAAATTCTTGAAAATGCCGAAGGCTCATATTTTGCACAAGTTCGAACAGTATCGCTCCTAAAGTTAAACGCGCTTTCCCGAACAAATCACGCACATTCGTTGCTATTAATAGAGGCCTGTTCCTGCGACCGTCGCGGAGCACGCCGCGTTGCGTCGCGCCCTGCATCTGCACCTGTAGCGACGCATAGCCCGATAAAAAGGAGCCTGTATCCGGCGATGTGCACGTGCCCCTGTAAACGCGCACATGTGCGCGGCACACGCTATATCCAGAATGTAGCGCGTTGTTCGAGATCATAAAGACGTGACTTAGCGAGCACGAGGGGGCCCTTGCTCGGGAAAAACGGCTCTCCCTTTGATTATTTTTTATTTCTTATCCCTTTATTTGACTTATTCCGTTTTTAATTGCTATTTTTCGAATTTCTAGCCTTTTAAGGAAAAGCTAAATTGATCTGTTTGCTAAGAGATTATTTCTGATATAATTCCTAAGATATAAGAAAGCGAGGGAAAAGATAAGAAAAAAATTATATACAGATAGATAAATAAAAAGAGAGAATTGTGGATTTAAAAATCTATACTTTTTAGATTATAGAAATTTGGAAGACGACTTTTATTCGGAGTAAATTTAAGCTTTACGTTCTTTTTCCTAATTTTATTTTATTCAAACACTCATCGATATTTTTAATTTCATGAACTGTACGCATTAAACAAATCAATCTAAAAAAATCTTGTCACAACACATTATTAAATTAATGTTAAACAACGAATAATAAAAAAGATAGAAGAGGCACGTTTTAATACGCAATATCTGCGTACTATCGATTTATCAAATATACTATATATGCAGATATTGCTTTATATATCGCTAATAAAATAACTATTTATATATACATAAGCCGTTCTGTATACGGGTGTCCTAAAAATATTCATTGCTGAAAACGTAAAGTGGAAGTGGTTGGTACAAAAGTGGAATTTTCGTGGGACAGATTTACTCCTCCGACGTAAGTTAATTTTGCATAGTACGTCGTAGAGTACGAATATGCAAATATAAGTCTAATCGATTTACCACGCGGCCTGCGAACTCACCTTCAGCGTTTCACCATTAATACAGCCTTTCATTATTTAATTTCTGTTCGTCCTACAATTCGCTTAGGATGATCCTCGAGAGAGATGATATTTATAATGAACTGCGAGAATCACGTCATTTTGACACTATCGAACAAATGACGTATCTTTCGTGAGAGATTGCCAATTCCCATTTGTTCCTTTTCTTCTTCTTCTCCTGAATTGCACATTACCCATAATATCTTCTTTGCACAGCTCGTCTGAGTTTTATATGTAATTACTTCACGCATCTTCGTACTTATTCAGGACTTTAATATTCTCCAATGCGTTCCCATACATGTATACAAATATTTCTTTGCGACGATTGTCTAGCCTTATTCATTAATCAGGATAAAACAACCCGATTGCATTAAATTCCATCAGAATAGCTTCATGTGTTGCTTTATTGCATAAGAACATATACAATTAACATAAGAATGTACTGTAGATGTCATTTACTATAAGGTCATTTAATGCATCCGCATACGTTTGACACTTGATTAACATAGTCAATTGCGATTCACGAGATCACCGACGACAATCGATCGTCACAATCTCAACGCTGTTTTATTCAGTCATGCAGCAACCAAGATAGAAACATTTAGATAGCAACTTTTTCTTCTTCTTTATCACGCTTTGGGGGGACACTGTTATCACCTCTATCGTATCCATATCACGGAGGAGGAGATCGCTGGAAACAGTTCGCGTGGTCCTTTTCGGGACTTTTCAGTTATCACTTTAGAGATCCGAAGGTTCCAACTCCGTCAGGGTCATGCTCGGTCAGGGCTCCGTGCACGGGTACGGCGCAACACTTCATGAAGCACTGACAAGCCAGACCAGGAGGGAGCCCCATCGTCGGCGCTACCATATGATTGCTCGCTCGCTCGCTCGCTCGCTCGCTTCACGCGTTCTCCTTCTCTTCTTCACTGCCACCACCCACGCATCTGGCAGTGGTGCGAAGGAACGCCTATATGTACGCTTCGTACGAAACGTTATTTCGGGATAGACAAGGACGGTGAAGCTGTGAGACGCCGAAGGACGGCTCGTCGACGATAAAGAAAAACGGACTCACGTGCGTTCTTCTTCTTGACCCTCGCACGAGGTTTTTCCCTCGTATTTGAAAGAACAATCCACCACATTCGTACAGTCTGTACACAAGCTGTCTGTTCAGTAGATCTCAAGAGTATAGACTACAGAGGTACGAAAGCGAAATTTAGAGACGTATAAAAATTTATAAAATTTTTAAACATTAATCTTTTATTTTTTAGAAATATTGAAAAAAGAAAAATAATAACTGATCCAATTTGAGAACAATAAAAAAAAAGATTAGATTAACTTGCGTCTCTTTTAAAATTGATACAAGATTTTGTTTTTTGTTCTCAGAATTCCAAGAGTTTCATAATGCTTTTCCTCAAAAGATACCAATAGTCAACAGTCGGGTGGGAGCATGAATATTTCTGTGATAACTATACAAAGCGTACGTATACGCGTCTATCTCGATGTTCACCTCAATTTCTGTTGAGGTAAGAATAGCGCCACGCGCGCACGCTTGCGTGTCTGTCACGCATATGCGTGCGGAAGCCGAGCGGAGCATGTATTTCCTGCCCTCAGAGAGCGTACGCATCTCCTCGAGCAGCGAAAGGGTTCGACCCTTTCGACACGTTTCTCCCAGCCGTGTCTCGTAAAACCCTTTGAGTGATTACCGTACCGTAACTCACCGGCAGTCAGTGATTGCTCGATTTAATCGCGACGGAAGGAACACGTGCTGCAACATTTTGATCGGTTCTGATCGAATTAATGATATTCATAGAGCCGGAAATTAATTCCGCAATTACCGCGATTTTCTGCTAGCAAAAATCAAATTCCAATATACCGTCGATGTAAATTTATGCTTGTCGAGCCCTTAAGATAGAAAAAAAGAGCAGTTTCTTTTTACATGTTTTTTTTGTTAGCGATATTTTTGCCATTTTATCAAAAAATGTTTTTATTCCGTCATGGAAAAATTGAGAAAAATAAACATATATTGCAATCGAAAAAAATATTTCACGAAACTTGACCATTTTACTTGGGGGAAACTTTAGGAATGCAACCGGCTCCAACAATACAGGCGTCTAACATGTGTAGGCCAAATGGTCATACATTTCTTCACGATAAACTATTGAATGCTGCTACCCACCGACATCTATTTTTCATTTCGTTTTCGCATGACATGCTGGTTATGCACTCACTGAATTTTCAGGCCATGGCCTATTTCTGCGAAATCACGGTAAATAAGTATTTGTGTCCTTTTAATTGTATTGATTTTAAAATACTGATATTTTGATAAGAGAAATGTTACAAGATTCTTATTGTATAACATTAATTGAATAATTATAAGAATAGAGACCGTGTGCTAATTAAACTTATGATTGAGATACAAAATTTATTGACAGATAATATATAATTTATTATCAACAGACATAAATATTAAGTAATGCGTCAAGGAATAAACATCGTAAAATTATCTATACTCCCGCAATCATTACAGTAAACACATTAAAATTATCATTTTAACAATTATAATGCTTTACTCAATGATCATTCTTAAATTTGATAATTTATTACAAATTTTATGAATTAAGCTTGAGAGAAATATATATTTCTGTAACATTAACATACATATTAATATAAGTTTTAATATTTAACATGACACAATCATCTCACGAATGAATATTCATTCGATGCAAACAGATATTTATTTAAAAATAAATATTGAAGTAAGCATTACATATGAATCTTTTTATTCGTGCGTACGTTAAATTGTTGAATTTCATTATTTACATCGTTGATTGTGAGAGGATGCGTCAGAGTTGAAACAGTGGCATTAGCAGTTGTAAATGAAAGTGCCGGCGATCCCTGTTCTGTTGTCTCCACGCAGGAGCAAGAGGAATGCATAATTGATCCATACATTCATTCACGTTTCGACGTATCTCTCTCCTCTCTCTCTCACTCGTTCTCTTCTCTTGATTCTTGAGAGGGATTTGAATTTCCAATCAAGTTTCCGCGTCCCTCCGAGCACAACAAACATTTGTGCTTAGCGTTGTCTAGCAAATCAAATCTCTTTGGGTGATGAATTCATTAGACAGTAGAAATACATATGACAATCTAGCTAACAGTAGTGCGACGCATTTAAGGATGTATGTGATGTATCTCAAAACATTACGAAAAATATAAAAATTTTACAGATTGTTCTGTTAATACATCTGAGCAACTGTGCAAAATTTGAGCACGATTCTCTTATTAGTTTAAAAGTTATTTAAATAAAACTGCAGCGAAATATGGATATTACGCTGCATAAGCCATTTCATCTATGCGACTTGACAGCATTTCACAGTAAACATTTGTGACATCTGTCATTTGAATAGGAAAGGTTATTGTCGATACTTTTTAATTTTTGGCGACGCAAATAGTTATTTTTATGTAATATTCATTTTCCTTTTTAACGATATATATTTATTATTTTTTGACATTTTAGATTTACGAGATTCAAAGCACATTATACTCGAAGCTCTTTCTACACTTGAAGCTTGATAAAATAAATAACTTTATATTACATAAGAAGTTAAATTTTCGTGAAATAACATAATTTTTCATGTCTTCAAAAATAGAAATATTTATAATTAATATTTTTTTTAATCAACGATAAAAAATTTTGGTCGTGAATATGCCCTGAAATCAACTGTACGAAACAAAATAGTGAATAATTTATAAGATGATTATTGGTCATTACGAGAAATGACTGCTGATATTTTACATTCCAAACATCCTTACATTTCCAAATATTCTTATATTTTTCTACAAAAAATTAAAGCCATGTGACTCAGTCTGCTCCGAGATGCTCGCCACTGGCACGGCCGTGCTCGATAATAATTCAACAAACAATTGGTTCACCGTTACAAATACCGGAGAATGAACAAGCCGCGCTAATCCCGCTTCCACCGTCGGTAAAGTCGCGATATACGGAGGTTCAAGGTTGTTTAACCGCGAGTGAAAGCCGCGAGTCTCCGGAGTGTGTGCGGCGGGACGCGCGGGAGCTCAATGTCCCATGGTGCTCCTTGCAACACGTACGACCGCGTATTCCGAAGCGAAACCGCCTGCGGTCCGACGCTGCGGAGAATCTGTCGGGACTGGTCTCTTCGACGGCGCCCGTAAGTGTTTCACCACGGTTTCCACGCGATAAAAAGAAGCGACAGCCGTTAGCCTCGAAAGCGATTTCAAGAAATCTCGGCGATAACGGTAGGCTTACGTAAGAGCGAATATGCACGATCGTTATATCGTCGATTCATTGGCAGGCGTTGATAAACGCGCTTTGCGCCGAGTCGATTTGGTATTTAAAATATGCTCAAACAAATATGCGCACGTGAATGTAATTATCTGGTTCTGGGATAGCGTGAACTCTCTCTCCGTCTCACTTTCTCTCTTTCTCTCTCTTTCTCACAAAAACGGAGACAGGAAAATTATTAATTAAATTTCTCTCATATATCACCACATTTTTTTTTACTGGTGTATTAAGTAGGTTTTATATTTCCTACATATGATCCTCTCTGCCAAAATCAATGGCACGATCACTTTCACGACGAAATGGTATAGCATATTTCACGTTGAAGATCGCTAAAGATCGATCTTTCAGATAGTTCATGTACTGGAAAATGCTTTTTAAAATTGCAAAGATTTTCTTTTATCGAAGAATGACGCAATAGGCAATTGCGATTGTATGTTCGTAACGTTCATAATTACTTTTTCAATTTATGCATTTGCTCGCGAAGTGACCTTCGCTCTGCGGACGGCTGTAGGTGCGTGGCGTAAGGCGCGGGAATTAACTCAATATCGAGAGGAAAATGAGTTATCCTTCGGATCTGGTTTAGTTCAGTCCGAAGGAACGAGTAACGGTACATGAGAAACCTCATTTATTTCAATGTACATCAAAAAAGAGATCCCACGTAATTTCTCACGATAATCTCGCTTTTCTAACACCATAAATCTCTATATAATCCTTGCAACCGGGGAACTCAGTCTCGGAGAAGATCGCTTTGAATTCAATTCGACAGTATTTTCGGCCCAACGAATGGGACATGAATTTTGGAGAACAATAAATTATATGAAGATCCTAAGGAGGATACACGTACGATTTAGTTCCTTTTCGAGACGAGGCGACGGGGACGCAAGGGTGCAATCGCTAGCCGCAACTGCGCAGTGGTGCGAATTGCGCGCTTCGCGAAGAGGGTGCCGGCTCGGGACGGCGAGTACGCAGTCGCGCGGGATTCCCCGGGAATCGGGTCTTTCCGGGTCTGCGACACGGTTTTCCTCGTACGCGGTTCACTTTGGCGCCCGTGGTAGTCGACGACGCGACGGCGGCGTTCACGGATTGAGCTTGCTCGTTCTCGCAACAGGTGACGGGATCTCTCTCTCTCTCTTTCTCTCTCTCTCGATCGACCGACCGGGTCCACGAAGCGACAGGAAATCTGCGACGAGGAGTCCGGCTGCAACCTATCCTCCGCGTGGCAAACGTCCTCGTGGAATTCCTGAGGGAGCCGAGTGGGAAGGGAGCGTTTCAAGGGGGAGTTTCGGAAGGAGCCGCGCAATGAGTGTCGAGGACGCCATCAATTACTCGCCCAGCGAGGAGGAGGACTATTACGCTCTGTTGTCCTGCGACGAGTCGTCCACGGTGAGACCTATAGCACGTTGGAGCGCGAATTTTTATTACGCCTTACTGAAAACTGAAATCTATGTGTCCCCGTTACATGGATTGATCGCTGCGATACCGTGGGATTTGAATTTCAATGCCGTGTTGACATCCGATGCATACATATTCACAAATTGAAAAAGTAAGACTTAAAAAAACAGTAGGTCATTCGTTATGTGACAAAAAGGCGAAATCGAACCTCGAGAGAGTTAAAGATTGTTTTCCCATCTTCCTTGTTGGTCCTGTTAAGATGAGTCACAAATTAACTCTACGTATTTTGTGAAGCGATTTATTGTTATGTGAGAAATTTTGTTCGCGCTTCTGAACTATTCAGGCTACGGTTTGAGCGACCTGAATTAATTTTTGAATAACTAAGTAAATTATTTCTGTTTGCTTCCTTACGTACACACAGGAAATTTCCTTTAAATTAATTAGAATTCATCAATATTGGTGCATTAAGGCTATTATATTGCTACTATTCGAAGGGTATTATTTTAAATGAAATGTCTTTCAAATAGAGAGCCGAAGATCATTTTTATTTCTTAATTCATTACGAAATGCGAATGCATTATTACTTCTGTCTATCAAATCGCACGTAATGTAGGCGTCGCCCGATCAAGCTTTCATACTTGAAATATTCGTGTCGAGAAACGAGTCCATCGCGAAAATTGTATTAATTAAGGCAAAAATTAGATATTCTCCATTAAAAATCTCTCATTAACATGAAATATAATAAAAAGAGAACGTAAAAATTGTACGTAGAGAAATACTGTCAATCATTTAATATCTTAATTAACTCACATGATTAAAAATGTCAATTAAATAATTAATTTTAATTTGAAATATTGTTAAACACTGCATTATGTAATAACTATACACTGCGTTGTGTATAATCAACTCAATTTGCTTATTTATTAATAGAAATTTAATTTTTAATAATAACTGTTATAATAACTGTTTTAATAATAACTGTATTTTATCTATTTATTACATCACAAATTAGAATCCAGCTTAAAATTCATCGAGTTTTAATATCATCAAAATATTAAAATTGTAAAAACAATAATTTGTGGACATTTTAATTGTCTTACACGCATTTATCGAGGTATTTAATATACATATACGAATCTAATTTTCCACATCTGTACTGAGATGATTAAATTAAACGTCAAGTTGCTTCCGTAATAATTAGATCCCAGAAGGAAATTGCAATTTAAACTCTCCATTAATTGAATTCTCGATCGACACAATTAGGTGTAGTCTCATCTGCTCCTAGTTTACGGTTATGCTGAAGTTGTGCACAACAATATCCATGCTGAAATCAAATCACATCTTTGTGTCAGATCGAGCGCGAGATTATATTGATAGATTTAAACGCTTTCGTTAATCTAAGTCAGTTTTTTTCCATCCAATTACCAACGAAACATTGTTGGTGCGTAAGAAAATCGTATTCGTTGCGATATCACCAAATGTAATTCGAGTGGCTTGAAAATGGATCGTAAATTTCGGCATGATATATTCATTTGATTGTGCACACTTGATCAGCAATAGTAGATAGCGAAAAGTTCAATAGAGATACACGATAATAGAAAGGTCGTTTGCCTCTCAACTCTCCAGTTTACATTTTGTTATCTCGGTCGAGAATTTTTGATAAGAATTCTATCCCCGGTCGATAAATCGCGTTAGCGTATTCGTGACATGTCGTTTTCATCGGCGAGACATTATATGAACGTGATGCAGACGACTGAGACATCCGGACATTCCGTGTTTACAAATCAAATAAATATCAGATGTTACAGTGAAAGTGATTAGATTTAAAAATTATCGAAATTGCACTTTGTTCTTTTTCACAAAGGCTTCGTATTCGTAATTAAAGTTTAACCTTTATATTCTGCAAAATGCCATTATGAAAATCGAATATTTCTGCTTTAATTTAATAAATGTAATACCTTTTCACACCTTTCTGATTTAACTGTATGACGCTTATTGAAATCGAAAGAAAATAGAGAACAACAGGAAAATGCATAATCCCGAAGTAAAAATAAATTAATCCCCCGTTCTCACGAATTGAATGGATGTAGATAGTTTTTATTCAATTTTGAAAATCAGGTCGAGCAGATTACGGCGGAATATAAGGTATTAGCTCTTCAATATCATCCGGACAAGAACGACGGTGACAAGGAGGCCGAAAAGAAATTTCAACAACTAAAGGTACGCCTCTTACACACAGACAAAAAGTTAATTAACTTTAATTGGCTTGTAGTTGAGCCGATTTTGCTTTGTGCACGCAGGCAGAGAGTGAACTTTATTTTGTTTATATCGCAGTACGCAAAAGAGATTTTATGTGATCCCGAAAAGAGGAGCAATTACGACAAATGGCGGAATAGTGGCATCAAGATCAGTTACAAACAATGGGTCGGCATGAAGGAGCATGTGCAGCAGGTGAGGCGTAATAATTGTTGCGGTTATTGTTCACGGTTTTGAACGATAAGCTGCAATTTGTTTGTTTTTTAATACACGTTGGAAAAAGTTAATTTCTTCACACGTGCTGTCAGTTTAATGAAGCGAGCTCGTGAAACGTGTCTCGACTTTCTGTAAATTAACTTTAAATGAATGTTATTAAAACTTTGTTCGAAATGCAGAAAAGTCAAAAGTCAAGAAATCATATATTAAATAGCTATTTATGTTAATAAAGAGAATTTTTGGTTATATTTTGATAATTTAAATATTATATCGATCGTAATTTATCTCGACGTTTATAGTGGAAGGAGCGAGTTTATACTTCCAATCTCTAGTCTCTCCTTGAGTGTTTCTTCTTCGAGAACGGTAGATTGTTTTATCAACTTCGAAACAGAATCTCGCTCTCACTGAAAATAGGAGCGCTCTGCAGCAGCGATAAGGGTCCGCGAGGGTCCCTTTAATTTCACATTCTACGTTACATCCAAGTGAAGTTAACCGGGTCTTCTTCTGTTCACAGACCATGCATTGGAGCACGCCGAAGACAAAGGACAGAATGCTGCCGGATACGACCGAGGAGGCAGGTGGTTCACCGGCTCACCTCAAAGGTCACTCAACAAATGCGCACAGGAGGGCTTCGGAGGGTGGTGCCACGAATCTCTACTACCGTTCGGGCCACGGCGTCCCGTTCTATCAGGAGTCCAACGAGGTTGTCAGTAAGTTTCGCAATTATGAGATTTAAAAGGTCCCCCAGCCGTAATTCTCACCGGAACCGACTCCACTGTACTGGATGCCCTTATGACAACAGGAACATGTTGCATTAGACAAATATCTACCTGATATGAGTGTACGGGGCGTTTGATCGGATCGCGTTGGCGTGTAACATATATATGTATATGCATGAAATGGCGAGTTGAGAGAGAGAAAGAGAGACGCGTGAATATTTCGTCGCTCGTCATCGAGCAATTCGTTACGTTTCTTTCCATTCCGTTTACATGCATGATTTTGCAATCAAGAGACTTTTATTGTTGTTGCGTCACTTCGAATCAAGCTGCGGACGCGACGATCTGTCATCGATATATAGCTTCAAACGATGATCGAGCGCGAGCGTAGATATTTCCTCGGATAGGACTTCAGAAAGTCTAATAAATCTTTATATTGTGTACAATTTTCTATACCGATATATACGGCCAGACGTCTCGCGGATTAATTTCTTCGTCGTTCGGGATGCACGCCAACTCGATTCAATAGATCGCCCTGGTACACGTGTACGTGCTCGCGATCGCGCGTACGTATGTGTCGCCTTCAGATTTATATTTTGTTATACTATACTAAGCACGACGAGAGGAAAGAATCTTCTCGAGGAAATGCGGGAGGAGGACGTTTCGGTATTATTTAAATCCCCTTTCTGAGGTCTCCCGATTAAACGTCCGATCGAATTGCGAATAATTGTGTGTAAGTCGAACCTCTCTCGATCGCGCATTCTATGTGTGTCTCTTGATCTTACGAGATGTTTAGCGAACAGAAGTTAAACGATGTAGTGTCAAGGGCAGTATAGTTTTATCTGTGATCCCGCGAATGAATTTTTCCGCTAGTGGTTAACTGGTCGTTTCAATCGTAAACACACTGGAAGGAAATACTTAAGCGTCCGCCGAAAGCGCTCTTCTTACGAATCCGTTATTTATAATAACGGAATTTTATCGTTATGATTATCAGCCTAAATTAAACATTAATTAATTTATGTATATTAGGTAATATACATACAATCGGTTTCCATATCGCAAATTCAGATAGCCGTTGCTTTCTATGCATTCGTAACTTCCTGTCCTCATTGGCCGAACATATCGACTTTAAGTATCGTATATCCACAAATGCGGTTACATGATTCGACGACGGTGGAATTGCAAAATGATTGAACCAAAATCCCGGACCACAAGCGTTGCAAACGTCGAATTTATCAGATACGATGTCTTAATGGAAAGACGTAACTAAATATTTAGCTCTCTCTCATCAAAATGTAAGATAAAGATATAAAAGTAGAGTAGTTTATATTAAACTGTTACCTAAACTGTTGTCTAAAAGTGCAATGTCTATATTATTATATATTTTGTAAATGTTGCTATTGATTCTGTGAAGCTCTATCCCAGGGTATTGACGTTTCCAACGTTTTCCTCTCTGAGGATTTATTCGATCGACCGTCGTCGCTGTGACATTTCATATAATTTAGAATTTCAATTTCACGAAACGTTGGCTTAACGTTTTTTGCGCGGTATAGAGCTTAAGTATTTCTTTCCGTAATGGAGCAGATCGACGATGGCGCACTTGTACCTGTGTCCGATGTCAAACGCAAGATACATCAATTCTCCTCCGACAATTGCGACGGCTCTTCCCCGTTATGTGTTATAGTCACGTTTTACCTCTCTTTTAAACCGGGAGCGTGTTGAAACCGTCGGGAGTTTCGGCGACTCATTTTTCGACGCTGTAAAGGATACAAAAGAATCTTACGTCATCAGAGAGCAAGGAGAAAGTTATTTTCGTGCATTTTCGCGGCGTCGAGGCGTGAACTTGCCTGAAATTAATTTCGATTTGAGGACCTTTCCCTCCTCGGGAAAAATCACGTGTTCTCGGTGGAAAACGAAAATTAACGCATCGCACTTTTTGCATTCCGACGCGCTCGCGTCTTCTCTCCACGTTCGATGCAGCAGTCGAGACAATTCGTCGGTGAATTGCGTTTGACATATAATTGGAGAATGCCTATTTATAACCGATAATTAATAATAACTTAGTGACAGTTAATCTTGGATGTGTCGATGTGTATAATCTTACAATAATGCGATATAAGCGTTCTCTCTTAGGGGAGCTCGTCCCTCGTTTAAATAACATTAATAACGGCGTCGTTAATGCCCTCCAATTTCGCTTTAAGTATTTCCTAATCGAAAACATGTTGTATCTAGATATCCATGCATCCACGAATCAGATGGTTGATATTAACAAATTTTTGACACATGTGAGAGATCAGACGAAGCAAAAAAAAAACGTAATGTTAAGTTACTTAAAGTAAAGTTAAATACAGTTAGGTGAAGTTAAAAATAAGTAACGATATTATAAATTAATCCGATAAAAAGAATGCAGTTTGGCAGGAATGTCCAGATATAATGTGTTCGATCTGGAAATGATCAAATGGAACTGCAAGACGTTAATGACGTTGAATGTACGTCTTGCCTGAATCGATCGATTTTCCATCTCCACGAAAATAATGTGATCTTTCGTCATCCCTCGTCAAGTCCAAAACATATCACGAGACAGGTCCATTTCGTCTTCTCGATTTGTTTTCGATGGAACAACCCAACGACGAAGGTACATTTTGTTCCGTGCAGAATGAAATAGGAGGATAAGCGGGATAAAATAATTGAAGTGGTTGGATAAATCGAGGGCCAATCTTGTACCTACAACAGGCGTTATATAGTAAAAATGGATAATAAACGACTGGTAAATGTCAATGGAGAAAGGCAAAATCAATACCAACGAGTCCAATGACATTTTTCTATCTCAATTTTAGACTATCATAGACTAACTCTTCTTTTGAGGGATAAATTCTTTTAACAGAAAGGATATGTACGTTGCTCCGGTGATACATACTTTTTTTCTGTAAGTCCTCCCTCAATAAGTAAAATAACGTGATTTCTTGATAAAAATTGAATGATCGAAAAAGGGAAAAGGTCATTTATATCGTCCCCAAGCATTTCAATTTCCCTAACTTGAACCTGAATGTTACGATCCGCTAAGGGATTCGTTGTTGACTGCAATCAATTCTTAATGTCACAAATACTGGAGCAGAGCTAGTAAGGAACCAGGTCAAGTCGTTACTTGTTTACCTTGTCATAGTATATTGAATCGTTCTACTGATTGAAAAGGATTTTCCCCGAAAAGGATATTTTTTGAAATTAAAAAATGGAAAAAGAAATATATAGTGAAAAAGTAAATAAAAATAAACTAAAAAGCTATATGGAGAGAAAAGAAATAGACAAGGAAAATATGAAATTGCAACTTACATATGGGACCGACACTTGTCGCGGGCTCTCGAAAGCCCTGCGCTTTCTTTTGCTATCGTTTCCACTCTCCTTTTAGTTTTCTTACATCCTTTGTTGGGAGACCTAAGAAAATATCTTGCTGCTCGACTTGTCTCCCTATCGGCTCTGTGCAAGCCCGACGTTAGTGCGCGGTCAATCGAATTAGTCGAACACATATAAGCGTCCGCTCGCGCTTCGTCGGATTCGCCGCGCGATCGATCATTCTCTAGAGTCTAGACTTACGAGACGGCGGGATGCACGGCTAAATTTAATGACATATCTGCGACAAGTGAATCGCGTCTGATTACGCCACAAACCGCTGTCGGATACGTACAAACATACATCCGAATTTATCTATGATATTTCGAATAGCGAAAGGGCGTTATCCAATTTTCACAGATTTAATTGTCTCGAAAAACGAAATTTTTCGAAAGAGATTCCAGTTATTACAGTTTTGATCTGTTAAATATAGATTTTTTAAATACTACACTTTATACGAAATATATAAATCTAAATTAATAATCTATATCGGCAATTTTTCATAATGGCTGATGTGACAGAAATATCTGCGATGTGGATTTTTAATATCTCTAATCTTTCATCTTTTTTTTTACGCATATTGAACACGGTGTTTTTTAAAAGATTCTTTCACGAAAAAATTGAGATTGAAGCTTTACTTGGTCAAAAATTGGAACAAAAGTTGTATGAGTAAATCACAAAAACTTTTAATCTCGCCGCGACAGCGACCAAGTTTAGATTAGGTAAAACGGCACCGGGCAACGGCGTTCATAAAATTCCTTCAGTTCCTTAGTTCGACTTCTTTAAGCTCCGAAGAATGTAGCAACTAGGTCGATAAGTCGTAAAGATAAATGAAGATTTTGAAGAAAAAAAAAAAAAAAAAAGATGTAGAGATCGAATATTTTGCCTCTGGCACTGGTAATGTTATCTTCGTGCGCATGTTAGAGGAAAGTAGGAAATATTACTATTTATTGGAAATTAGCATAATTTCGTGCATGCGCGTGCATATGGAAGAGAATAATACCTAAGTCAAAAACTTAACTCGGTCATTATTCTCACATATATTGAGCGAACAAGATCAATTATGGACATGTTAGAGCTAACTAAAAATTAAAATAACGTTGATCAAAATGGACGAAGAGATTGTTCTTATCCACAATCTTATAGCAATCTTTTACTAATATTATTTTATAAGGAAGTGAGGTTCGACGACGGGAAGATTGCACAGGAGCTTTCGCGTGCTCTTGAAAAGTTTTCCATTTTCTAGCACAAGACAAGAGAATAGTGCGGTCGACCGTGCCCGCTGCTGTCGAAAGTCTATTGGACCACCCTGTGTGTATATGTATCTATACCTATATTTTTCTAGGCGAACCCGTGGATTTTTGGTCTGTGTGAAAGAGAGAGAAAGAGAGAGAAAGAAATGTTGTTTACATGACTACATCATACATACCTATTTGTCGTTTACGATTGACCTGTCGCAGGCACCTGAGGGAAAGGTCGAAGTCTGTTCGAACGCCTATCAGTATGATGCTCACGATCAAAGAATCCGATACGTCCCTTTTACGTTACTACACGCGCGTTTACGACAACGTCATGAGATCAGACGGGACTTGCGCGTTCCCTTATGAGGAAAATAAGAGAAGCTTACTCTTCTCCAGAGGATTTTACGATCAATTGAAATGCCAAATTACTTTCCAAGCCAATTTTAAACCGGATAATTAATTACAATCGGGTAAATCTCTAGACACGCAACAGAATTTTATATTATATTCAATAACATCAAACTTTTGCTCTTATATTATACAAAACAGATTTATGAGAAAAACATGTGCATTCTAAAAATCCCCAAATTACATGCTAATAATTTATTATAATTTTGAAAAATTTATCTTTGAATTAGCGTAATTTGAAATTAAATTTTTCAGTTAAATTAAATTAAATTATTTTTTTAAACAAAAGTTATGTTGGCCGCTTTTTTAAACTTTCAACATTTTTTCTGGTGTTTAAATTAAATGTTTAAATTAAAATTTAAAGCACATCAGTTGTTGAAAAATTTTTCTACTTTCGCATTTGTAAATGGCAGATTGTGTCATTGTCGCTCATTAGCCTTTTTTGAACTGATTATGCAACGCTAATTATGTTATCCAATTAACGTTCGCAAATAAATCGATAACTGTTGTTTTTTGCTTCAACGTCTACGACTAATGATCGCAGTTAAATGCTTTGAACAATAATTAATTACAAAAGCGTAAGATATAAATTGGAGTTTTATATTAAAAGAAATAGCGAATCTCTTTTTTTTATGTGTCAATGAATTGACGGCAGAAAACTGATGTTGCATAAATTCAATTACGACTCCTACACATAAATCTTCAAGATTGCTACTTTCACTGATTGTGAGCTGATTGTCAATTAAAAATTAATCACGAAAGTGAAGAAAGATTATCATTTGTACTATAATTTGATTTACATATCGATTAGAAATTGGTTGGAGTACGAGTTGTTAACGGATGAGAAAATTCCGAGTTTGTTAAAAATGATAGTTATTTCAAGAAATATTATTATTGCTGATAAAATAAACACGAATGGTTTCGTGTCAATATGACTTGCGCAACTTACTGATTGGTAAAGAGAACTTTCGATCGTTCTCATGAGTCGTGCAAGTTTTATGCGTGTGTGGCAGTATGGATGGAATTATAGATTGTGTGTAAGTGTCTATATGCAGTTAAATGCGTAACCAAATACATATGTTGTATATTCGTCTCGCGCTGGTCGACGCGGCGATGTATTACTCGTACCAATAAAAAATTCAATAAATGTGTTTAATTATGAAATACCATTCCGCACTTTAATAACTTTTAACGTTTAATGATACGTCTCGCTGTTATATCAGATACAGTAACATTCTGTTAATAATCGCAGATTACTAACGAATCGATATTCCCTTGACAAGCAATTTATTAGACAATTATTTTGATAAATTAAATACTTTTAAAGTTAATATATGGTATACATATTTTTTAATATATATATTTCTCTTCGTAGGAAATAAAATAGATGTAGAGATCAGTACTTTGTCAAATATTTCATAATTTGTATTATTTGTAGTTGAAACATTTTTGAAACAATTTTTGTTTTTATTATTTTTAATCGCATTTTTAATTCTCTTCTCGTTCTTTTCACAATCTAAAAATATATCGCTTTATGTAACACGGATGTTTATAATCCTGTTTGAAATAATAATTTATCGATCTCATTTTCAACGTAATTCGTTAAGGAAATTAGCCGTTTTCAGGTTAATCGGATGATGGTGTTACAGCAGTATGCCGATAATCGTCAAGCTGCAGATAACAAAGTGATTATTGTTGTTTCGTCCCCTGTTATTCCACCGTACATCCCCTAAATGGAATGAAAGGTAATGTCTCTCAGTATGTGTATTTTCAGCCATTAAAGCAAAAATTAATATTTGAAAATGCAATTAATTTAAGTTTATTGATTTAATGCATTGTCTATATTGATCTAATGATATCTATTGGTCTAATGCAATTGATTTATGTCTAATTGATAAAATTTATTTCCAACTAGCTAAAAGTCATGTAACGAAAAATATCTACAACATATAAAGTAAAATGTTACGTAATGCAAAATAGTATTTTATACAAATTTAGATTTCTCGTTTTTCTCACCGTGCTTTTTAATCAAATGTTAAAATTTTAAACAATGCAAAAACATTCTGCAAAAACGTGGAAATGCACTTGCAGATCGTTATCGATTTAAATAATTCGCGTTTTTCTTTCAGCTGGCTCCCATTTTTTACTTTTATCCGTTGTGTTCGATTTGGCGCATACTGTTTTCGTAAGTTGTACGAGAGAAAACTTTGTATTTTCCATATAGAATAACGCGAGGCCCGGCGCGCCGCGCCGTATGATTGGGAACTGGAGCGAAACATTTGCTTCTCGCTTCGAAGGCTTCTCCGTAATTTCGGTCGTTTATCTGACAGCTGCCTTCGGCTTGATTTCTGTTCATATATCATGCAGAATATATCTAAAATGCATGGGCGGGGGGTATTTAAGACGTGTCAAATTTCAAACTCAATTTCCTTCTTTTAATCTCGTCTTTTTTAGTCATGCCTATAGAAAATTCAAGCAATGTCGGCAAAAAATTTAACTGAATAATAGATAAACATTAATTGAACGGTGATAGTCGAAATTTATTTGCATCATACTTCATCTGAATAAAAAAATCCATTTGTTCAGCACGATATAAGCGAACTGTTAATTATTTCGGATATATACTTGATGCTCATTTCGCTTTTATACGTGAATAAAGTTTGACCATTCAAAATTGTCTGGAGACACTTTCCGAGCAGCCGCCCACCAGGTATACCATTGGGATCGCGTATTTCGCTGTGTACCAGTTTCCGTATAAATCCATTCTTTCATTCGCCTCGAGGGCCGCGTATAAATACCACTCTACCTGTCCACGTAACAGCATAGAACGCACATCCCTCCACTGAACTGCAAACAGCCCTTTGAATGCCATTATCCTGCCTACGTTGTTACTACTTAACGTCGCGTCCGCAAGTGTGGCTGCGTTAGATAACGAGAGCTGGCCGTTGTTCCCGATCGGTTTTGCCCGACAACGGCTGTCTGTCGGGACGCCGAGTCCGTGCAGTCTGTATGTCAATTTAAACTTTGACCTACCAGCACCATTCCGCGCCGTTTACCATAGACCCACCTACGCCTCTCTCTTTAACCTTCGTGCACTATCGCCGAACTGTCTATTTTGCTCGACTAGAATTTAATATATCCCCCTTTTTTTTATGTCTTTCGGACATAATTATCTCGGCGCGAAAAGGAAGAAAAAATATTATGATTACGGAGTAAACGTGTAATATATTATTTATACTACAGAAATTTTTTAAAAATAATAAATAGCGAATAGATTATACTAGTAAATGAATCGCATTTGAAGAATGTCTTCCATTTATTTAAATAATATTCGTCTAGTCTCATTAACTAAATAATACTGCTATATAGTTAGGTTTTCTTCTCGTTTCGAAAAAAAAGTTGCCTCTACGAGAAACGAGGCACAGTGATGCGCTTTGCTACGTTAATCTGTATCGACACAAGCGGAAGGGAAATACGCAACTAGGAAGGAGGGCAAATCGATATTGTCGCTCTGCCGTGAGTCTGTATACACATGGAGAGGAGCGAGCGTTATATACGCTTGTGGTACAGCTCCGTGAAGTTACGTTTAGCAAATCTCACGATAAACGCGTCTCGATAATGTTGGAGAAAAAAAGAAATTTCTTCTTTATTGTCATTATTTTCATAATTATCTTTATTATTATTATCATTATCACTATTATCTTCTTTTTCTTCCCATTTGAAGATATATATATCTTTTTAAAAAGACGATGCTGTCTACTGCTCCTTTTTTCTGTGTTTTTTTTTCTTATTTTGAAAAATTTTGGAAACATTTGCAGAAATGTGAGATATATCACAATGACGTTTTTACTTGTGTGAAACGTCATCTAGGTTGATTTCTGCTCTTCAGAACAGAACCTCGCAGCACTGTTGATAAAATCATTGATGACGAGCGTTAAGCCGACTATTTTAGTTCGTGTGACTGCAAATGTTATTTTAGTTATTGCTGAGATATTTATGCAATTTAAAATTTGATATCGATAGTTGATATTGTTAATATCTTTAATAAATCTTCGAAACTTGATATTTTTAACAGTATCTCATTATCGATGAAATACTGAGCTCTGTACTGTGACGTCCTCTTGACTAACACGCGGCAAACAAGAAGCTGAAAATCAAATGAATATTAAACGATAACTGAAAAATATAGTTGCATAAAAATATATGTAACATATTGCAGAAACAATGGGTATAAATGAGTATAAATTGTACGAAATATTAATTGTAAAATTATTGAAACATTGAATGATCGATAATGTTAATGTTTTCAAACCATTATCAAGCTTGAGACGAACGTTCTTTAAACGATTGATACGAACACCGACGGATGATAAATAAAGACCGCTAGTTTTATGGGAGTAGCGCAGAAAAATACTGCAGAGAATATAATAAGTCGAAGCAAACATTTAAATTCAACAAGCGTTGATACAACAACGATTCCGAATAAAGAAAAAAACTTCAAGATTTTTAAGATAAATTTCAAGACTCGCTTTGAAATTCCTATTTTATCCTGACTTAGAATATTGATCAAAATTCAATACCTAGTTTTGAAATAATTACAATTATAAAACATGTTCCTAAATATATCCATGTATTATTAAAGATTTTTTTATAGTTTATATTTTAAATAATTAAAAGATAAAAAATTATAAGATATATCCAAAATAATTATTCGCTTATTAGGTAACGATAGAGAACTGAAATCTAGAATATCTTTATAATAAAATTAAAATACAAGCAAAGATTTAACATGATATAAGCAATGTCATTTTTTTAAATTTCAAAATTAATGTCAAAAATACATCTATATACTTTTAATAATCTTCAATTTTATGTAATCCGACTTTGAGAAATTTTAATGTTACAGGTACGCCATTTACAAGATTTTTTTTAAATTAAGCTTTTTGAAACATAAGACGTTGTCTGTTTTTATTGATCCGTTATACCTTTTGTATGAAGAAAATGTAAAAATCATTTGAATACTAATCAAACACTATACTAATCGAAAGATTAGTATAGTGTTTGATTAGTTTTTTATTTTAAATTAGACAAGTGATCATATATATATATATATATATATATATATATAGGTATATATAACATTGAACGATAAAAGTAAACAGAAAGAAGAAGAGTATAAGCGGTTTTCCAAATATGTATTTTTTAAATGTTATATCTTTCGATGCATGAAGCAAATAGCTTTCTATAAACATCATCGTCTGGACGCAAATAACTGTTTAGTTTGATCGCGAAAGAGTAAACAAGAATATTTCAAATATATTTCGAACGTACGGTGCCACTGGACTAAAAACTGGACTCGAAGACCTTCAACCGGAAGAATTGAATGCAATCATCTCGAGCTCTCTACAACCGCACCCGAGGTCTCTTTAGTTGAGGACGTTTCCAACAGGTGGATCATGAAGCTACAACGCGACCCTACGTCCCGAGAGGCTTCAGTAGCGGTCTATACCGCGGCGTGCGAATGTTTGGATCGAGTAGATTCGCGTCGCCCTGTATACGGTCGGTGTGACAGTCGCGAGTGCACCGAGGACGAGAACCGGAAGCGCGCACGCAGTCGCCCCGCGACGCTTCGCGAGGATCTCCACAGATTTTCCGTGTCTCTTCCTTCTTTTTCTTCTCGCGCGAATGGCAAGGAGGCAATGCGAGCGGCTTACACGCGGGTAAGTACTACGTCTGGTCGCTCCCATTATTAGAATCGGACCGTGCTCCGGATCGATACTGATTCTCTGTCGTCTCCCTCGGCGACGAATACCGCGTGCGACGGATGCTGCGGCGAGAGATCTTCCGTCTAACGTGCGGAAGGAGATCGCGGAAAATTTTCATAAATCCTCGTCAAAATCGAGACACGTCGACGCGTTCTCAGTAGCAAATAGTTAAAATTCCGGTGGAGACGCGATCTTTCGATAAGCGTGCAGATTTGGATGAAGCGGAGCAGTAAGAAATGGCACTTGTGATTTATGCAGATTATTCCTATGATATTGCATAATATTGCTCCTTTATATTTATAGATTCAAAAGATGTTATAATGTAGAAATAACTTAATTGCTCTTCTTGGAGTTAGCATGATTTAAAGGTTTAAATCTGCACTTATTATTGGCAGTCACTGAAATCTTCTATTTTTAATAAATTTTTTATTTTTGAAATAAATACTTAATAAAAAAATAATTTTGAGATAATTTGTATCTTATAAATATACTTTTAGTATGAATTGCATTGTATAAAGAAAGAAAATTTAAAAAATAAGAGACAAAGGACTGATCACATATTGAATTTCTTTATCTTCTTTTGGGATTTTGACATGGAAATCCTCAAAAGTTTTTCAACTTATTACTATTTTATATTTTCGAAAGGATAAAAAAATGCGAAATACCCGAAAATATATTAAAATTTGTGTATCTATACGTGTTGCGAATAATAACTAGGATTATTTATCTGAAAAGTTCAGAGAGACGGAGATGCAATATCCTCTTCCTGTCTGCGGTGGCCAGTGAGTTCACGTGTGAAACCAGCAATTTAGTTGTCCGGTTCCGCGTCGCGCCGTATATATACGCAAAGTTGAATTTCGAGTTTCGCGGAGCGTACCGCAAAGATATATGTGGGAGAGAAAATATCACGTGTAGCCATTTAAAAAGTAGGTCTTCGCCGAGCTGATGGTATGTCGTGTTGTACCGCCTTGAGCAATGCACCGCCTCGGGAATTTCAATGAGAATTCAGCGGATTTTTTTTTCGCTTCCTTTAGCGTCTTACGTAAGACGCAATGTGCCGTTTTTTCCGTTTGCATCCGGTCCCGCGTCTATCGTCGCGGTGCAATGCGTGCAAAATTATGCTAATGTACGCGCGGGCTATCGGTTATTGGCAATCGCGAAATCGCTTGCGATTGGCGGGTCACGGCATGAAGAAGTTTATTACTAACCGATAAGAGCATTCGCTTGCGGGCTCATCGTATTGATTCGAGTTAACTCCGCAACTGTGCTATACGAATTCATCTCACTATTAATGGAAAATTATATCCGAAATACCCATTTTCCTTTTAACTTTTAATTTTTGAAATGGAAATCAAGTTGTCTTAAGACTAAATATACCTTTTACTTAATTTAGATTTATTTAACGGTCAATGCATTTCAAGAGTATGATTAAAATGTAGATTGAAACAAATATGGGCGTCTTGGCACACAAATTTAAATCAGCTGAAAGTGTTGATATCTATGGAACTGTTTTTCACTTGCGATCGAAGGGAAATGAAAGAGGAGAAGGAGAAAGGGAAAAAAACAAGGAAAAGCTCGCATTGCCGTACGGTTTCGTGTAACGTAGAAATTCTACGCGTCCCTGGTCGCCGCGGTATAATACCTGCGAATTAACGTTTACCGTGGATTTCTCACGTGTCACTGGAGTATCCTACTTTCTAAATGACAGGAAAGAAGCGGGAACCTGCGAGTACCCGCGTGCCGGGGGGGAGGGCGGGGGGAGGGGGTTCACTCGAGTAATCCAAGTAGCGGTAATCACGTTAGAGTGATTCGCGTAACAGCTAATTGTAAAATCCCTCCGCGTCTTTTATAAAAGTTTCTTACGATATCCACGAGCGCGGAATAAAATCGCGATCTATCGTGTACGTAGGCGTGACGAGAGGCCGTGTACAGACCGTGAAAAAAAAAATGGATACACGGCGGAGCCTGTTACAGAGTGGTGTGCAAGGTCCTTGCACTCACGATGCGCAACACGCTCGTGTTTACGCACGATTTTTCTGAACATTTCGCCGGCGAAAATCTTTAAATGTAACGCCGCGCGTTCGCGCAAGCATCGTGGAAGTTTCTCCGCGCTTTCTAATTGCACGCGGGAGAAAAAAAATAGCAATCGTGTTTTGCATAATTAAAAATTACCTCGCTACGAGGTGTTACTGCGTTTGCGTACGAGGGGAGAGCTCGTAACTGAATTTGCGTATAACGGGTATTTTAGTACCCGTCTGCACGACATATTCGCGCGATAATTTTGTGAACGTTTGTATTTACACCGCGTGCATTTGTAGCGCAAAATTATTGATATATTTACGCGAAATATTCCTGTCACAACGTCATCGTGCATACGATAGTGTGCTTTCCATTTTGTTTATCAGCGAGGCATGTATAGAAAGTCATAAAGATGCACAGGTATTTAATGGAATATTTTATGATGCTTGTGAATGTGTACTCAAAATTTTAATATAGACTTTAAGGATGTTTAAGCTATTACTTTTACAACAAAAAAAGTTAAATAAACGTTCTCATCTATCGGAAGATAATCCGAGTGGAATCTTACGTGCGTTCGATTTCTCCGAACATCTATTTCGTGAACTGTATCGATGTTCTTCGCGTCGAGCATGAATAGCGAATGCGGTTCATCGAACTTTAAATGTAATCTGATGAAGTACACGCATCCGTGGTTTCCAATGCTACGGCATCAAACATGCGACGACATGTATTTGCGCGCGCGACACGAGAGAGCCGTATGAACTTGCATATGAATTGATTGCATACATACATTTTGCGCACGACGCGAATATTTCCTATACATTCTTCATATTTATAAACGTGTCCTCTGTCAATTCAAATTTTAACGCAAATATAATTTATCTTTGCACGAAAGAAATCTGTATCGAATTAGAATTGCGATTCTGCAATTTAACCGATAACTTGTAGAGCTGAATGAATTCTTTAATCCAGATAACGAGTGAACTTATTTATCGCTGCAATGCTATTTGTGTCCTTCTGAGAAAATTGTAAGCGGCATTTAATAGCAGTAAAGCCGCGAGTGTCTGAAAGTCGCGAAGAAGTTCCTCCCGCGGAAGTTTTGACTTTTTTATTCTTATTTAGCTAGGAAATGAGAGAGAGAGAGAGAAAGTGCGATGTTCGACGCATGAGAAATAAAATCTGGCAGACTAATGGGATCAATTATAAGACATCCCGCCAGGGAAGTGATTGGCAATTCTTGGCAGTAATTTAACATTCTTCAGTGACGTTTTATTTTTTATTGTATCGAGCGAATGTTGAGAATCGCGAGAAGTGCCATGATCGATGGCGAATCTGCAGAAGAACTCGAAAATGCGCTTTTTATGAAGCGTTGCATGATGGCGTGTGACACATTAAGTGGTTCGTTATTGATGGTACCAACCGGGAAGCTGATGATTTTTCGTGAGAAAATAAGTAAAAAGGCGTGAAATAAAATCTTTCTTCTCACACGCAGTGTATTTTTCTACACTTCTGTGACAACAACGGAAAATTAATTGAAGACGAAGAATAGACGTGACAAATCTCTATTCTTCCCAGGTACATAGAAAATACATTTAAATGCAAATCTTTTCGTAACTACGATCAGCGTAAATTGCCTTGCTGTTACATAATAACAAAATCGGAGAGAACCAGACGGAGAGAGCGACGAGATTCTCCGTCTGTCTAATTTTATTCGCGAGCTACGCAGTGCTCTGCTACGTGTGAATGAGTCTCGCAAGACACCTGCGCGATATATCGGACGATCGTCGGTTTGCGAATATTTTAAGCTCGCGCGAAGGCGAGCGCCTCTAACGCTTCGAATCTTGCTGATGCGGAACAAAGGCGAGGCAAAGTTCGGCCTAAAGCACGATCTCGTTATACGTTGTAGATTTCTCTCTTAACGCGAAAGCGCTCGCTCTACTCGAGGTGAAAGTTGACTTATTGTGCAGCGAGCGTGCAAAGTGTCTCGATCGGAGTATTTGCCATGGTGTATCTGCCTTATCGTTGAAAATTGCTGGCTGCTCTCTACCGAGCATGCCATTAATTATCTCTCCAGAGCGGGTAGCTAGAACCGATGTTTAGCGAGAGAGGTTTCTATGTGAAAATCAAGCTTCGAAGAAACGTAACATATTTCGGTAAGAAGTTCAGTTAACGTTATTTGAAAAAAAAATAGCATTATCGGAATGCAATGTATCTTTTAGATATCTACCTTGATACGCGATATGGAATGTCTACCAGAGCATAAAGCTGGAAACAAGTAGATTAACGAATAGCGTACACGAAATGAACGAATACGGTGGAGTAACGGCATATTTAGTTGCATTCCGTTGAATCTCTTGATAACTAAGGAATCTTTTAATTGCGAAGAGGAAAGTATATTTATACGATGCTACTTACGCAAGTCTAATGCAAAACTATTCTTGAAGTACGTATAAGTTTTATACAGATTTTCTTGTACTTTTCACGGATGGAATGAAGAAGCAAGATAATGTAACGGCTTTTAAATGAAAATAGCGGCATTGCAAATCAGTTCGCACGATGCCGTATTATAGGATTATTTTTTAAATTTAATTAAAGTAATTTTCAATTTAATTAAAATGCAAAGTTTTTCATTAACCTAGTTGTTACTTACTTAACCGTTGTTTTAAAACCGCGAGGCTTAGATAAGCCTGCACGTAAGAAGTAAGTATAAGAAGTAATTAATGCCCATGTAATGTCACCGAAGAAATACAAAGGCCAGTTTCGCAGAAGTCATTGCACTCATTTGTCTTTAATAGGCGACGTAATTGCTGTTATTTCGCGCGTAATGGTCACTACAAAATTAGTACCTCGGAGTCGACCATTATCGTATACGCGCTGCGCACAATAAAGATGCGTAATGACTGATGATAGCAGGCAAAAAACAGAATTCGAAAAAA